TCGTCGCTTGCTTTAACAAAACAGTACTAAGCGAATAGCAGAAAGAGACGCCTTATTTTCCTTTCGACCTAATCAGCACAAAGTAGATTTGCAATGTCAAAGTCCTCGGCGTCCATTTGTGATGAAGAATTACTCAGTATATGCTTCCGACCTTCTACAGTCAGCATGTATCATAACTACTGGTAAATATGACATATGCATATCGATAAATCATAAAGAAACCAAGAGAAAAATTAAGCAAATGGCGATGACAACGATGATGGTGGTGGTGGTGGTGGCGGCAGCGGCGGCGGCGGCGGCGGCGGCGGCGGCGGTGGTATTGGTGGTAGTAGCAGTGGTGGTGGTGGTGGCGGCGGTGGAAGCGGTGGTAGCGATGATGATGATGATGATGATGATGATGCTGATGATGATGATGATGATAATAATAATAATAATAATGAAAATGGCAGTCGGTAGTTACTGATGACGCCTAACTCGCGCCTCTTGGATGCTGGCTCTTTGCGACGGGTGGCCATAAATAAGCAAAAGTTGGTAGGCGATCACTGCTCGTTCTTATGAAATTCGCTCCTCCCGTTGTGCCTTGGGGTACTTTCCCGAGCCCAATCAGCAGGCGCGTGATATAGACGCGAGAGAGAGCCCTAAGGAACAACGGGACGAGTGAGCCCTGTAACACGATCGATGAGCGTCCCTCTACCATTGTATGATGCCGATCGTAATAAGCAGGACAACGAGTCAGTGGCTCAATGGTCAGGGAGGTCGGACTTCTAGCCAACATGCCGCGTAGACGTGTTCCAGGTGTTCCACACCTCGGGGCTGGGTATAACTGGCTGACGATGACTTTTACGTTAGAACTAAGCATTCCAATCTCCCTCGTTTTTGTCGATGATGCTTCTCTGGGTGTTTAAATATATACGTAAGTTTTGATTTAAATCCAATTAGGAAGAAACAACTAAGTTGTAATATCATTTTGCAGGTAGTAAAATCCTGTGACAGACCGGACGTGCAAGGAAGTTGGCCTTTGAGTGCACCTTTACTCGGTTGTCCACAAAAACCGCACTAGGTTAACAATGACTACTTATTTAGTACGCGTTAGTCAACTGACCTTCATCGACACTTTCATAGAAAGCTTAATCTGGAGATATGCCCTATTGTACTCTTTAATAATAAATCACATCTTCATACTTTACGCTTAAAGGGAGCATATATTTAGCTCTTTTAAAGTTTTCAATTACGCTATTTAAAGAACGTTTAGGTATTGTCAGCATGCGAGAACAGTGTATCAGATCTGACATTAAGAATTGCCACGGACTTTGGTGTGAGTATGACACATCATCCGGCAGTAACTATGCTTTTTAAGGTAATTGAGGTGAAGCCATGACTGACCATAATTAAACAATCTGCTATACTTTACTCGAATTCTCCTCATATATGTCCTCGAAAAAATACGTAACTGAAAGCGCGGGAAAGAATCTGTTTAGATAGGGGACAGGCTGTTTCGAATCGTTATCTGCCGCTTGTGGCAAAAAAATCACTCTAATATTGGGGGCGTGTTCACAAGGCCTTGGCTGGCAGTTAGACCGAACGAGAACTGCTGCAAACGTTAAACCCCGACAGCATTTCTGCATGCATGTAAAATGTAATATCCCCGGCTGGCATGAATTGTATTTACGTGGCGCTCGACGTTGTGGCGGTTCGCGTCTCCTCACCCTCCGCCTTGGTCACGCTGCCGTCCTGTCCGCCTCACACTCCGTGTCAAGACGCTGCTGGGACGCGCGAGTGCTCGAAGCCAATCAACGCTGTCCCCACTCTGATTGGCTGGCGACGTGGAGACAACGAAGGGCGCACACACGCGCTAAGACAACACCTCTAGGGCGGACGCAGACAACAGCTGACTCGGAGCGCGCTTGCGGCGACTGCCCACACAGCCTTTGTGTACACGCTTTCCAAGCAGTAAAGTTTGTCCAACTCAAACCGTCTTCCCTGACTTTTGATTGGGAATCTTTATCTTATCGACCACACAACTTTTAACAATTGGTGACTCCTTGCGAACAGCAATCTTCGTTCTTCCTAATCTACGATAAAGCCAGGCGTTGATCATGGACAATTTTCCACCAGAAGTGCAGCATATTTTGGCACCCGCCTTCGGCATTCTTTCGGCCACGCAACTTGCTCAAATGGCCGATCGGCTTATGGAGATGCACGGTTTTTCCAAGCCGTCTATTTCAGCACTCTCAACTCCCTCAAATACTCCTGCGTCTCTCGTTTCGCAGTTAGAGATCCAGCTCAACAAGCTGGCCGATGATATAGCCGCTCTCCAGAAGCCCACAGTTTCTGCCTCATCTCGGAGCCAACCGCAGCCGTCCACCCCGCATGTCCAGTCTTCTCATTCAGCCTGTCCAGACGTAGCTGCCACCTGCTGGTACCACACTACTTTCGGTGCTAAAGCCCGTCGCTGCGTCTCTCCTTGCTCCTTCACTTTCAAGCAGAGAAAACGGGTAAAACCGGTCAACCCGAAGGTCTGTGCAGCCAAACTTCCCGACAGCTCTAACCCTGGTCGCACATTTTACGTCCGCGACACCAGGAGTGGCAGACGTTTCTTGGTTGACACTGGTGCCCAGCTAAGTGTCATTCCACCCACACCAGCTGATCATCGGTCCCCCAATCCCGGTCTTTTCCTACAGGCCGTCAACACATCGCCGATTACCACATTTGGCACCTGCTCCCTCTCTCTGGACATCGGTCTCCGACGTCTCTTTTCTTGGGTCTTCGTCGTGGCTGACATCCCCTGTGCAATTCTTGGTGCAGATTTCCTCGCCGCTTTCGATCTTCTGGTCGACTGCCGTCAGTCACGTCTACACGACAAGACCACCAACCTCACTGTCCGGGGTATCTCTTCCTCTGACACCACCCGTCATCCTGCCGTCTTGGACCCTGAACCCGAGAATCCATTTCGGCAACTCCTTGCCAAATACCCCGGCCTCACTCGCCCCAACTTCAGCGTTTCTATTCCACCACATGACGTTGTTCACCACATTCGGACCACCGGCCCTCCCGTGTTTTCTCGCCCCCGCCGCCTCGCGCCTACACGTCTTGCTGCCGCCAAGGCCGAATTCGAGCACATGCTTCAAATGGGCATCATCCGTCAGTCTGAAAGCCCATGGGCCTCACCCCTCCACATGGTTCCAAAGGCCGCCACTGGTGACTGGCGTCCCTGCGGTGATTACAGGGCCCTGAACAACGTTACTGTCCCGGACCGCTACCCTGTCCCACATCTTCAGGATTTTGCCGGTGTCCTATTCGGCAAGTCTGTATTCTCGAAAATCGATCTGGTCCGTGCTTTCCACCAAATTCCCATAGCCCCAGAGGACGTTTCGAAGACGGCCGTTTCCACCCCCTTTGGCCTCTTTGAGTTCCTGCGCATGCCGTTTGGACTTCGCAACGCCTCCCAGACCTTCCAAAGGTTTGTAGACAGAGTGCTTCACGGCTTACCATTTGTCTACGCCTATATCGACGACCTTCTGGTAGCCAGCTCCACCACCGAAGAACACATGGAGCATCTGGCAACGGTGTTTGACCGCCTTCAACAATTTGGCGTTGTTCTCAACCCGTCCAAGTGCGTCTTCGGTGTGCCCTCCCTAGAATTTCTCGGTCATCTGGTCGACTCCCACGGCATTCGGCCTCTTCCCTCAAAGGTTGACGCCATTCGGGACTTTCCACTCCCTACCTCGAAGCGTCAGTTGCAACGGTTTCTTGGTATGGTGAACTTTTATCGCCGGTTTCTCCCGAACTGTGCCGATACCATCCTACCTCTGACCAATCTCCTCTCTGGTTCTAAGCGCATCTTTGAACTTACACCAGCAGCACTCACGTCATTTGAGCAGGTAAAAGCCCTTCTGGCTGATACCACCCTCCTGACTCACTTCCACGCTGATGCACCCATATCTTTGATGGTCGATGCCTCCAATGTTGCTGTTGGCGCGGTTCTTCAACAAAGTCTGCCGGATTCGACCGTGCCTTTGGCTTTCTTCTCCAAGAAACTATCCAAAGCCGAAACCCGCTACAGCACATTCGGACGTGAACTTCTCGCCGCTTATCTTGCCGTAAGGCACTTCCGGCATTTACTCGAAGGTCGAGAGTTCACAATTTTCACTGATCATAAGCCACTCACGTTTGCAATACATTCCCACTGTGACAAGCTAAGCCCCCGGGAGATCCGTCACCTGGACTACATTTCGCAGTTCACTTCAGACATCCGCCATATTAACGGGTCAAGGAATGAGGTGGCTGACGCTCTGTCCAGGCCCTCTATTGCTCATCTTCAGCTTTCACTCAGGATAGACCTCGCTGAGATGGCCGCTGAACAACGCCGTGTCGGTCCACCCTGTGATGAGGATGTTTCCGGACTCCAACTTCAGGAACTACCACTGACGACTGGCAACGGCACCATTTTATGCGACGTATCCACCCCTTCCCATCGTCCATTTGTGCCGCCATCCCTCCGCCGTAAAGTTTTCTCCTTCCTGCACAATCTCTCTCACCCTGGGAGTCGAGCAACCGACAAGCTGGTTTCCGACCGCTTCGTCTGGCCTGGAATGCACAAGAACCTGAAAGCATGGACACGGGCGTGTCTCGGCTGTCAACGGAATAAGGTCCGACGGCACAACAAAACTCCCATTGGCACCTTCCCTACTCCGGACGCACGGTTCAGTCATAACCACCTGGACATCGTAGGCCCCCTGCCTCTGTCCAATGGCTGCTCCTATCTCCTTACCTGCGTGGATCGATTCACCCGGTGGCCGGAAGCTATTCCACTGCCTGATGTCGCAGCTCCAACGGTCGTCAAGGCTTTCCTCAGTCGTTGGGTTGCCACTTTTGGTGCTCCCTCCATTATCACGACTGACCGTGGTGCCCAATTTGAATCTCAACTCTACCAGTCTTTACTCTCCTTTTAAGGCTGTACTCGCATCCGCACTACAGCCTATCATCCGGCAGCCAACGGGATGGTCGAGCGGTTTCACCGTCAGCTGAAGGCATCCCTACTCGCCGCAGACGATCCGGAGAACTGGACAGACCACCTCCCCCTAGTCCTCTTGGGCATTCGCTCCTCCCTCAAGTCGGACCTTGATTGTTCTGCCGCTGAACTCGTCTTCGGTGCCACCGTCCGACTCCCCGGTGAGATGATCTCGCCAACACCACAAGGTGCGGTTGAGGATCCCACCAACCTCCTGCATCGCCTCCGGCAATTCCTGCGAACACTTTCTCCGGTTCCGCCCAGGCCATCCGTCTCCGAATCTTACCTCGAGAAAGATTTGGCGACATGCTCTCACGTCTGTCTCCGATGTGATCGAGTCCGCCGGCCCCTGGAACCACCTTACGACGGCCCCTTCGGAGTTATCTCTCGTGGGACGAAGAACTTCCGCATCCAACGCGGCACTCGAGAGGAGGTCGTGAGCGTGGACCGTCTCAAAGCTGCCGTCCCGGACACTCCTCCGGATGAGCCCTGTGGTCCCCCACCCCCTGCTCCGCCTCCCCGACCCTCCATCTCTCCGTCCCATATACTTCCTTTGCCCCCATGTCCGCAACCCACAACTGCAACTACTCCTTCATCAACCAACAACACTGTAACCGCGAGCCATACTCACTCTATTCCTGTGCCCCCTGTATATATCACCCGTAGCGGACGCCATGTCCACTTTCCTGACCGTTTGGTCACTCATGTTTTTTAGATATCCACAGTTCCTTCTGCATCGCTACGCTCCGCCTTCGGTCTAGCCGGGGGGTACTGTGGCGGTTCGCGTCTCCTCACCCTCCGCCTTGGTCACGCTGCCGTCCTGTCCGCCTCACACTCCGTGTCAAGACGCTGCTGGGACGCGCGAGTGCTCGAAGCCAATCAACGCTGTCCCCACTCTGATTGGCTGGCGACGTGGAGACAACGAAGGGCGCACACACGCGCTAAGACAACACCTCTAGGGCGGACGCAGACAACAGCTGACTCGGAGCGCGCTTGCGGCGACTGCCCACACAGCCTTTGTGTACACGCTTTCCAAGCAGTAAAGTTTGTCCAACTCAAACCGTCTTCCCTGACTTTTGATTGATTTTGACAACGTTATCCAATCACCGTGCAATGCGAGCATACGGTCCTTTCAGCACCGCGACTCCATCCCCAACCGCAGACTCACAGCCTCAGTCGTCCTTTCAACTACGCTGTCAGAAGGCGAATATACTCATGTTTTTGTTCTCTTAAAGGTCTCAAAATGCGTACTTTTAGGACTAGAACACAAGCCCTCATTATCAAAATTATATATAAGGACAATCAATACAAGAACTTGCATATTATCTAGTATCATTTAGCAATATCTTCTAGCTCTCAGATCCTTAACTGTAACAGACTATCGGCCAAAATGAATAAATAATTTGCCTTTAGAACATTCTACTTTCTGTGGGTAAATTGGACATAAAACCTCTTGTTCCATGCAAAGATAGATCCGTCTGAAAACTACAACTGTAAGGATTATTAAACGCTCTTGATGAATAGGATGCTCCTGTTAGCGCTGACCTCAACATACCAATAGTCACTGAAAAAGGTTACATTGATCATTCGCTGCGTGCATGACGCCTAGCTGGTGCGTAAGGTCTTGTCAGGTGAAGCATATTTCAATGGCGGGCATTAAATGAGTGGAGATGTCTCACTAGGCTCTACATGCTTACGACGTGCGTCAGATGTAGGTTGTTCTTAACGTCAGTCACCGCCGCTGGCGACCCTTCTTGAGCTTTGCTGTGATAATTGCCTCTAAGGACGGCCTTACTGGGGACGACTTTGTACTTCATTTGCTTAAATTACGTGAAGTTTCCAAGACAATTAATGTTTAAAATTACATTTGTGTAAACATAAGCTATGAAGAAGCTTCTTGAATATGTAGTAGGACTTTAACCATTACAGCGATCCAAAACTGTCAGCACAATATATAATTAGGGTAATTATAAAAAATAGCGTCACATTTGGTGATATAGAAGTCAAATTGGATATTTGGTTACAAATGCAGAATCTCCAGACCAACAAGGTAACCACAGCCGACCACTGCTTTCCATATAGCCACTGCTCATTTACATTACACATTCGCCTAATCGGTCACATAAGTACGCACCGTACTAAACCAGGCAGATCAGTACCACGGTCACCAACACACCATCCGCATACACGTCCGTTGACAGCGCTGTGGAAGCAGACGACGCAGTTAATTATCCCACAGAATTAACCTCATCTGCCAGGGGTGCCGCCACACGTACTGCAATTGAAAATCGGTGTGTGATTATCATGTTTCGTAATAGCAACCAGCCGAAGCTTTGCAACTGCATGCGGCTTGCAGTAAGGACATTAATGACCAAAGTCGTGGAAGTAACTGCCTTGACAGGACCTTTCAAATGTGAGCATGTCCTTAGTGCTCTCATTCCACTGATTCCAACTCACATGCCATTTCAAGTACGGCGACTGCGATTCCCGATTCAACTGGCGTTTCCAATCACCATCAACAAATTCCTTGGGCCATTGTTTAGAAATGTGCGGTTTGGATCTGCAGACTGATTGTTTCTCACACTTTGCGTGTTCCGGAGTCGGCAAACTAGACAATATCTTTATCTGCACAGAGAACGCAACAACAAAAACTGTGGTATACCCACAAACATCATGAAATTAAACATAATCTTAGCTTGATCGCAGGCGGTAGCCAGGAATGGGGAAATGGACGGCGACCTTAACCTAATCCTTACCTTAAACGTTAAACCGTTAACCCTAACGACAACCTTAACCCTAACAGTAGCCCTTAGACATAGCTCTAAATGTAAAACCTAATCGCAATACTGAAACCTAATCGTAAACTCTATCCTAACCGTAACCCAAAAACCTAGGCCTAAAGGGCATAACCCTAACCCGAAAATCGGACATCATTAACCGGTACCTTAATCCTAACCTCAAACGTAAAACAGAAGCCAAATGGATCACATGTGATAGTGTGGCACGGCAAAAAAGCCCCAGCCGCCTGTAATACGGGGCCTGGTTATCAACTGCGATCAAACTCCGCCCCACTCCACTTTCCAAAATTCATACAAACGTTCTGTCATCGTATTGGCCTACTCGGTTACACAAGAATTCATAAAGCTCTGAGGAAAATACCGTTGACGTTACATCATTAACGCATCTCCGCCCACCAGCATCTACACCTTATACAAACATCTCCCACAACACCCGAGTAACAGGCAGGGCATGCGCATTTTACTTAAATCGGAAGCATGTTCTCTGATGCATCTTTAGGTTTCCGACTAGAGTGTATTTGGCACACCTACAGTGAGTGACTGATCCCATGAAATGTTGGCTGAAATTCTGAAGTGGGTTTTCGATTAGAAAGAATTACTTGAACGCGGTTTAATACAAATTACCTTGCGGAATAATCCCACCATATTTCGGACTCAGCAGGATGTCAGCCTTTGAAAGCACTGCCTTTCAATCTCCTGTCGAAACCGTACTTAGTAAAAAATGACTACTTAAGAAGCATACATTTTTCCCGCGATTTAAGTGGTCTCGCAAATTCAGATATATGTTAGAGATAGTTTCCTTTTAGTCGATTGGTATAAAATCATGTCTTCTTAATATTTTATACGCAAAGAAACAGTATAATTAGGTTTTAAAAATGTTTTTCCAATTCCCGAATAGTTTGGAGTTTGACCATTCATTGCATTAGCGCTTGATGATTTCAGTCTACAAGGTGCATGCTTTCCTCGTAAATAAAATCACATATTCTTCTACGCCTTTAACAAGATATCATACGGAGTCCATAAAATTTTGCAATGGATGCAGACTATATAGCACATGTCACGAGGAGCCGTGGTAAACGGACAGGTACGGTGCTATGTGAATTGACGATGCGCGGTCTTAAAAAATCTCGTAATTAGCAACTTTTAAAAACCTAATCATACTCCTGGCCTAAGTATAAAATATGAAGAAGACGTTATTCTCTATCAAACGACTAAAAGAAGGCTTATTTTTTCGTGGCTTCTCTAAAATATATTTGAATTTGCAATGCATGCTGCTTAAGTAGCCATTTTTTACCAAGTACGGTTTCTGCAGGAGATTGAAAAGTAGTGTATTCAAAGGCTGACATCCTGCTGAGTCCGACATACGAATGGGTTATGCCGCAAAATAATCAGCATTATAACCGCGCCCGAGCAATCCCGTCTATTTGAAAATGCATTTGAGAATTTCGGCCAACATTTCATGAGATCGGCCACTCACTGTAGACGACCTGTAGCACCCCTGTTAGTAACGGCATGTAACTTTGTGGCGGTCAAGGATGTGAGATCAACTAAAACCACGCACAATAAGTTCGTTTCGTCTATTGTCAGAAGTCAGAGAGCTGTGAGGACTATTTTATTCTGCACACAGGGCAGGTTGCGGTAAGTTGTTGGCTGTTTGCTTGCAACAGAGAAAAGCGTCCGTTCACGGAGAGCGTCAGTCGCGGTGTGTAGTTTACGCGGTAGTGAAAGTCTGTGTCAGTAGGTGGGATTGACTGGTTGGATGCTGGTCATGAGACTGGACGGATTAGGGAAGGATTAGGGGGAAGCATAATTCAGAGGCTCACGGGTATCAAGCCAGGTCGTCCGACGCGCATGAGGTGATAATAGATTGCGGGGGCAGCCGGACAGGAGGGGGGCCCAGTTCTAATCGGCGGGGGTGGTTGTGTGTCAGCGGCCTGGCAACGATTGTCGCGGCCATCAACCGACAAAACGGAGCCGAAGAAAAGGGGGGCTGGAGCGGCTGCTACAACTTCCCCACCACCTGGTTGACGGGCTCCGACATTAGGTTCCTTATGTGCTGAGAGTAAGGTCGACACTACGGAACTCCTCCTAACACTACAGTACCGAACTCATCATTGCAATCAGTAGGACGCAGTTAAACTTGTCACGAGGTTGTGATTTTGAAGCTATCCAACTGATCGCCTAACTCAGTTTGCGTTACTAGGAAAAGTGGTTAACCTACTGATGGTCAGGCTCCATGGTAGCGTCCCACGCGTGTGAGTTCTATCAAGACCCTTTTGTGGATAATTCACATACTGTAAGGATGACTAGTTTGCGAGTAGTATGCCATGCTATTATGCCCCGCCAGCCACAACTCCTATTCTCAATCCCAGATGGCTGACCGGCTCAGACAACGAACTAGTGCAAACTAGAGGGTAATGTCAGTGAAGTCAACTATGAAGGCATGACGTCGGCGAAGTTCACATAGTACTGCATGTCAAGCAGTTTAAAACTACCTCGATATGCTTATAGCCATGCATTGGAGGCGTGAGTGATCCGAATCATTTTAACCTTAGGTGGTTAGAGAGGTTCACTAGACATTTTACATGACCTCCTATCATGATTGACTGTGCACAGAACAGTTCGACAAAAACAGACGTGGAGAGGAGCGTTAATATTTTACCCCGCGCCTCTAAAATCATTTGACTGTTGAGTTACATGCAGAGTTTGGTGGTTCTCAATCATACGACACAATCTGCCAAGTACACAGCACTCACGATTGGAATTACTGCCTCGCTTACATGAGGACATCACGCACACCGGGAAAGAAAGTTACCGACCGAATGCATTGGACTCTAACGTGGATCGGTTACTTACGTTTCACCAGCCAGATCTACACAGAAACGGCTGGGGTAATTCGTGTATGGACTTAATCACA